ATATTATATTAAATTACTTCAGTGTGTTATCAGATTCTCAGAAAAACTGACAAAGTTAATGACAGATAAAGAACCGTTTATATCACGATATTTTATACTTAACACGTTAAGTGCCCAGCCCGTTTTGCTTGCCGTTCCGTTCAGGCCCAAACTCATCCGTCAAGTGGGCCACCGCGGCGGGCGTAGTATTCATAAAACTCAGAGATACTGTAGCAATTGTTATAATAGGAATTGCCAAACGTTAACTCCAAAGATGGCGAAGAATTTAACACCAAAAGTTAGCATCTTTTAGTCCCAGTCTGGGCCGATCCCTGAGGACTGGCCGGGCCCGAACGGAAAGTCTAGCGCACGTGGCACTTAATGTGTTGACTGGTGACGAGTTAACTCGTCTTCTCCTGCCCAAACGTTGTCGACCGATGACGAGTTAACTCATCTTCTCCTGCCCAAACGTTGTCGACCGATGACGAGTTAACTCGTCTTCTCCTGCCAAAACGTTGTCGACCGATGACGAGTTAACTCGTCTTCTCCTGCCCAAACGTTGTCGACCGATGACGAGTTAACTCGTCTTTTCCTGCCCAAACGTTGTTGACCGGTGACGAGTTAACTCGTCATTGCAGTTGCATTGTCTATTTCAATTTATGAAAGTGATTTTGAAGATTGGATTACAAAATAATAGCCGGTGACATGACATAGTTTCTGTGTAAAATTACTGACCAACAAAGTGTTAAGGGCCTGATACTATCGACTCTAAAATCTCATGAAATCTCTCAAAACATTTCTATAGAGATATAATAACGTATTATATAATATATTCTGTCATATATATCACGACATCAACCAAAAACAGTGTAAATTACATTATATAAATAGCAAAAACGAAAAATGAAATTATTTCAGAACATTTCTATTACTTTCTAGCGACTAGCGTTTGCAAATAATTGTATATCGAATAACAATCTAAAAAATTCACTTTCCACGTACTGTACTTCAATTTCATTCGAGAAAACATTCTTTCAACTTCATTAACTTCGAAGACATAACTACAATAATTAAGTAATCACTATGCGCTATATCCAAAATGCACAATACTTTACCCGTAAGTTAGAAATATTTCCAAAATCTATCTAAAGTATTGAATAGGAAACAAAACAAATATTTTTAGGAAATATAATTACAGTGTACCGAAAGAAAGGGTGAAAAATCCAGCATGTTTGAAAGAATGAAAAAATAAAAAAGGAAAAACTACAGTAAGGAACAGAGAAAGTAATTAGTAATTGGTGCAGAGAGTTAACAAAGCTAAGTGACACAACACATCACGCATTAAATGAAGAAAGTAGCTCCCGACGATTAATACCGCGGATATTTTCATAACGAAAACGGTGCATCGAGATGGAGAAATGAATATCTTTTCGTTTTTCCCTCTTTGTCGAGGGAGAAAGGAAAAGAGAGGTTATCCTCTGGATCACGAGTATATACCTGGACAAATACACGGAACTGGTTCGAACACGGACAATGGTGAAATAAAAAGGCAAGACACAATTTGTTGTTTTTTGTAAAAACAATAAGTTATCTGTATTTTTGCAATCCAGAACGGACAATGTCTCTGTACAAGCTTGTTTTCAGACAGAAATGTTACAAGTTCTGCGCGATGAGCGACACCGTTCCTGAGCCACGATTTTATTCGACTGCGCGGTCTTTTTCGTTTCTTACTCTGTTCAAGCCAAAATTTCTCACGTGTGCCAATAAATTGACGAAGAATCGTAGTAAGGAAAAAAGTTACTCGGATAACGAGGTAATTATACGAGTTTAACGTAAAAGAAGATGTGTCTCGATCGATGGTGAACGTTTGGAAATGAAAGGATTCTACGATAGAAAAGTAAGTGGCCAGTTACGGTATTGCTTATCTAGCAAATTAACGACATCGTTCACTTTATGGCTCTCTTTCTCTCATTCTTACGTAGAAACACACGGAATCTCTCTTTGCTCCTCGGTTCGTTCGATGACCAGTCGACGAACGGTTCGAGAAGGAAAGGAAAATACGTGACGTGAGGTCACCAAGCCAAGGCATTTTCGAATGCTATCTATTCTTTCACATAGTACCTTTTTTCCTTCGTTCTACGTTGATCAAGAAATACGAAACTTTCTATGCAACACGTTATATCTTCCGAGAAAAGAAATCTGTCTAATCCGCACGCGAGTGTTCTTCGTCACCATAGAACGTCTCGTTTTTTCTACCACCCTAAAGCGAAGTCCGTATAAATAAATATGGAGGAAAAGTAGTAAATAAATAAGTGTGATAAACTCTTTTCTTAACCCTTTCACAGCGTAAGCGTTTCAGCGATCTTAAAACGATTTTCCATTTAACTCACTAGCGCCACCACGGCCTATATCTCCGATAAACGTATTAGCGTAAATATCGTGTATATCGTTCAATTATTTTCTAATTTTACTGATGTAATCTTGGAATTTTCTTCATACTACGCGTGTTATATTATCTGTACAATATTGTTTTCACAAATTTTTCGATCGTACATATACGACCGTACTCGTGAAAGGGTTAAATAAGCACTGAATTGATTGGAAAGTTCGTGGTTCGTTAGAAACTGAATAAAAATCTGAGGACAGTGTATCTCCACTTTTAATGATTTTTCGCCATTTTTAAAGCTCTAGAATGTTGAATTTCTCGTTATAAAAAAAAGTTCGTAAATATTAACTATAATAGTGTGATATTATCTATTAATCCTAATAAATGAATATAAAGCGATACTCCTTTTACTAATCGATTTTACTATGTTCACTGCATATGCCTCATTGTCAGATCTAAATCGAGATGACTCAGACAAAGCGTAAAATTAAAAACACGAAATTTTGAAAGAGTAAAAAGAAATACTAAATTATGAAAATTAAATTTACACGATAGTTATTAATCGACACGTTAATTCTTAAGAACACGATCTAACCAAATTTCACTACTCGTTGAGGCTAAAAGATCGCCAAGGTTTCCAGGTTGACATATACAAACCATTTTACCAAAAACTCTACGAACTCTCCAAACAATCCACCGTAAGGAACAACGAAACAGCGATTCACTTTTGAAATAAATAAGCAAATGAAGTAAGAAAGGAAGAATAAATAGGGCTCGAGACTAGCAGAAATCGCGAAACGTACTATGCGTGGTACTAGCCGGAAGTGCTGGAACCTTTTTCTCTTACTGGACAAAGTCGGAAGAGAGAAAGAAAAAGTAGAAATAAAAAGGAGATGCAGGTACAGATCTCGAAAGGTACTTTGAATTCTTCGTTCCGTTGCTTTCCTCCTACCACTTCGCTACGTTCAACAGCACTTACACGAGCTTCGAATACTTTGGCTAAAACGTTTATGTACAGTCTGGCCTCTTATCATTCGTTCGGTGTTCCTTAACAGTTAGATCTCGGTGCCGTAGACGGAAGTCGTGCAAGCTCCGTTGTAACAACGATAGACGCATGGTCGGAAGCTACGAGAAGAGCTCAGGTGTTGCTTATCGATTTGCCATGCTGTTCGACCACGTGCGAATCGCTTCGTGTAGAGGTATCCACGTTAATAAATAGAATAAATATACTACCGCTACTTCTACAACTCTACTGCTACGTCTACCACTACAGCTAGGCGTTTCAAATGATTTGCAAGCGGGAATTCAGACCGGGAGCGATGAGAAGCTGCTCAAGGAACAGGGGAATCTTCGTTGATCTATCTTTTGCTTTTTCGACGAAAATTCCCTTGGACGTTGATGCTTTCACGTGTTTCTTTTCTTTTCTTTTTCTTTTTGGAAAGAAGTTCAAGGAATTGCTAATTTCTGGAGAGAATGAAGTAATATGTCGAACAGCACAGGGAGCTTCTCTAATTGGAGTTTTGCCTTTTTCGAACGAGTGCGCAAGCTCTACTGGTCAACGAAGCGGTTAGCTTTGGCTTGAATGCTTTTTCTAAGAAATTGTTGCAAATAGTTGAAATTCGATTAAACGAAAAGGATAAAATGGATCACAGATAAATCGGTATAGTTATCGACAAATTATCCCTGCTCGTTTAATCGGTTTTCACGCATTCGTATGTATCGTTGTTCTGAGGATTAGTCTTTGGATCCTTGTCTCGTTCTTCTTAAACTTCAAGTGAATGTGGAAAGCATAATTGAAAGTTGAAAGTCAAAATATAAAAGAAAATTTTGTAATATCTGCTTAATGTTTTAAAAACGGTATGATGAACGTTATTAAATAAATTTTAGTTTAAATTCGTTAGAGGAAAGAATAAATAAATTAGTAAAGAAAAGAATATATATAAAAGAAAATATTAAAGAAATTTTAATTTTAATTTAAAATGGAATTAATATGGCAAATTTAAATTATAAAATTCACATTATTCCAGACAATTTTGCCAAAGACCAATTATATAAAATAATTAAAGTGTTTCCTTAAAATGACACAAAATTCTATACAAAAAATAAATTTATAAAATAAATAGACAATAAATAGAAATTTTAAATAATCCACAATAGAAACAAGTAAACGATAAATAAAAGAGTAAAACAATCAGAAATAAAAATAAATTAACGATAAAATAAAATTGAAAATAATTTAAAACAAAATAAAAAATTTCTTCAAACAAAAGAAACTCGGCATAAATAATTCATATCACATGGAATAATTTTCCCAGAAATCAACAAAGTAGAAGCTAAAGAATCTAAACCATGTCGTTTAAAATTGTTCCAAATTAAATTTGCAGTATTCAAACTGCACGAGACAATTCGTCCAAAGCATACATTCTCAGAAACAACTATCATACAGAGTGTGAAACCAAAGCTTGACCCAAAACGTCCGCACGACCCGTAGAAAGCATCGACCGCTTCGCAGCAACGAAGAGGCGAATAATTAATTAATTGAGCACGTGATTGCCAGGAATCGTTGTACGTGACTTGCCACTCGTTTCCCTCCTCCCTGGTTAAACGACAGCCTTCGAAGTAGGGGATGTAGCACGCGTGCGAGATTTACGCGCGTGTTTATGCCCCGTACTGTGTTTTCCCTTGAACTCACGTGCTTGCCTGGCGCCAGCGATGTCGGCGATGCTGTCGACATCGTCGTCGTCCTCGTCCTCATCGTCGTCGTCCTCGTCCTCGTCGTCGTCGTCCTCGGTGTACACCAGATCCACGTCGTCCTCGTCGTCATCGTCATCGTCGTCCTCCGTGTCGGCCTCGTTCGTCGACACGGCTGGCACGTGGACAGGATTCAATGAAGACTCAGCACCTTCGAGGCCAGACTCGTGGATACCGGAAGCGGCTTGGCCCTCTCCCACGGCGTTTCCTTCATCCTCGTCTACGCCGGTCGTCTCGTTGTCGACGGCCGTGCTCTCAGCGGCTGATTCGCCTGCGTGTTCGGTTTCTTGGGCAGCTGCGTTCAGGTCAGCCTCTACAGCCGCTGGAATAGCGGGAGCTGCTGGAGGTGCAGCAGCTGGGGCCACCGGTTCCACTGGAGTCGCCTCGTCATCGTCGTCATCGTCGTCTTCCTCTCCTGGAATTTATGATATGTTACTTTTCCGAAATTGCTTTCTTACTGTTGGGAAATTTATTTCAGTCAATTTTATATTCCTTCGGAATTAGAAATAATATTGCTATTATTGTTAATAGTACATTTACGATATAATTAACTTTAATGTCAATATTATAATTACTGTAATGTTAATATTAATATCATTATATTAACGATATTAAATGATGATGTTAATTATAACTAATCATTTTTAAATTAATTTTAATATTATTTTCATATTTTAATATCGATATTATAATTACTGTAATGTTAATATTAATATTAACATTATAAAGTATTAATATTTGTAAATATCAATTTTCCTAGGTCGTTTGATATTTTCTGAGATCATTGGTATTTGTTAATATTTAGTGATTGAATTTTTGTTCAGTTTTGCTATGTAGTTTGTATGGCTACAATTAATAATTCCTGCGAGAGTTGGGAACTAGATGTAGGAACAGGTGTTATTTTGCAGATATTCATACAGGAAGCTTGACAACAGGTAGCAGTAAATGAAAATTGAAGGCTAAAATGAAGTTGCTTTAGGTTTTAATTGATGTGTCGATAAAGTAAGGTCCTTGGCTGCTAAGCGCTAGACCGAAACAAGAACAGTTTTTGCTTTAATAAAGTAAGTCAATTGATAAAGTAAGCCACTAAGTTATATGTATACCTGCAATGTTGGCGAATTATTGGAATGTGACTTTCAAAGAACACAATTTACGACCGAAAGCCTCGATTTAGATAACTATATTCTACATTGCCATGAAGCCTGCAAATTTGTAATCTTGTTAATCTTCATTTTTATTTTACTTTGACCAGAAGAATTATTTTATAAAAATTCTATTGTCTAAACTTTTCTATTTTTATTATTTATTGTTATATGTAATGTTAAAGTGCTTTATATTGGATGCTTCTAGATCATTTCTCGTATTATTGGATCCCTAGATAAAATAAGTGAGAAATGGAAAGTTATTCAAAGTATTTTTATAACAAACAATTATGAAGAATATTAGACATTATCAGATAAAATTATTGATATTTTAAGTTGAATTTAGGTAAGAGTTTATAAAGTGTAATATGTTTAGATTAATCTAAGAGATAATTCTCTTAATATAGAAATAAGATAAAGTCAAAATATAATGATCTTATAAAAAAAGGGTACAGCTAGACTATTAAATAAAATGAATAAACTCTTTTGATGCATGATAAAGTAAAGAATTAATTTCCTATTTGAAGAAATGGAAGAGTAAATACTTTAAAAAGATTGTGTTACTAATGTTAATATCAAATTTAAAAAAAAGAAAAAGAATATGAACATGGTATATAATCAGATAAAAATTGATATTTTATTAATAATTATTAATAATTAATAGTAGAATGTGAATTCACTAATTATTAATAACGAAATATAAATAGATATACTAAGATATTGGTTAGTGATATATTAATATAATTAATACAATATATTACTGACCAATTAATACAAATTCATTAATATACTACTAGTAATTGTTAATAAATAAATTAACAATTACTAATCTATTTTGTATTCCTTGTAACATTTCTATTTTCTTTATATGTATAAACATGTGATATATTAAATTTTAGAAAAATAATAACGTAACTATTTAATTTAAAATTTTAAATTCAGTACCATTAAAACCTATGGCATTGAAATTTGCATCACGTAATTTATAGTATGCATATCATTATCTTCATATCGTGAAATATAAGAAATACCAAAGACACGCATAGTTCCTTCAAAAAAAGGAATGTACTCTTTTAAATATCTCGATAAATTTTTCTCTTTTGAATTTCGAAAAACGATGCACAAACGAAAATGATACTGTGATATAAAAATTGTATTACATTTAATAGTTCATATTAACAGATTAATAGACCAATAGATTAATTAACGTGAATAATAATAATAATAATCATAATATTTTAATATATTGATTTTTAATTTTTCAAAAGAAAAAAGCACTCAAGTTTCTATCGTTTTTCGAAAGAGTGGATAAAATTTTATTGCCCTCGTATCTTTTAATCTACTTTCACCAAACAGTCATAAATCAACTTATCATTACAAACTGTTTTGCTCCCTTCACATTTTCTTCTATCTATTTCAATCTCTTACTCTCATCTTGTTTCCACTCAATTATGTACTTCCTATATGTAAATCAAGCTCATTCACCTGTAAATGTCTCGATTACGAATGTGGTTAGAATGATATTTAATCACGCCGAATCACTAGAAATCTTTTATGAATTTCCACTTACGTTCGATAACCTGACGATAAATATCGAATTTATTGATTAAATCGATTATCAAATTACTTGGTAAATAAAATAATTGAAATACCATTATCGATAGAAACGATCGTTTTGCCCTCGTTGACGATCGCATTAACGACGAAAAATGCCGGCAGTTACAGTTCATCTTTTCGTATCTGGGTCGATGTAAAAGAAGTAGCGCGTAGAAATTCTTTTCGAACTGGGATCGCCGTCGATTTATGTTAATTCGGGCGAGTTTGAAGTATCTTGTACCGTTACAGCTACGTGAACGCACCAGAATTTCCGCCGAACATGTCGCTAACCTCAAGTTTAATGTTTGCGTAACGGCCGCTAGGTTCGCCCGTGGTCCTCTTGCTTCGATTCATCGAAACTCGCTCGCGACGTATCGATGACAATACGGGGAAAGCAAAAGCGAGTAGACGATCGACTGAACCCGATACGTTTAAAGTGAGTTCGACCGAATTCCATTGTTATTCGTTAGTACCACGAAAGAATAATAGATCGCGTGCGTATTAACTGTGAAATCAAGGATGTGATGCGAATCGTTTTCTTTTTTTAGCTCTTGGGTACGAAAATAGATTAAAATGTAAATTTGTATATCGTGTTGGAATTGGAAGATTAGATAAAAGAATATTTATGTTACTTTAACTGATTACAGAACCTACATCAAAGGAATATGAAGAACCTACAATAATAAAAATTACTTTTTATCGCCTACTTTGAAAATATAGATCTTTTTGACAAACTTGGTAAATATATATATTTTTTTCTTGGTATTAAAAATGTAAAAATTTTTATTTCGGAAATTATTGTAAATTGAATATTATTAAATTCTTGCATCATTTTTAACGATTTGAATTTATCTTTTCCAGACGTAAAAAACTTCAACGTGTGTATAGTAATCATTAATAATATATTGGTAAATATGTTGTACATAGGAATTGGAAATTCCTAAAATTTCTAACAATTTATAAGAAAATAATGTGCATGCAATTTATTTAGTGCTATTGTATATTATGTTATATTGTACATAATATAATATATTATTATATTGTATATAATAATAATATATTATGTTTATATTGTATATAATATAATAATAATATTATTAATATTGTTAAATATTTAATAAGAAACACTTTAAATAAAACTAATTCAAGGAAAAGTATATAGAAAAATCGATATTAGAAATATATTACAGTTAAACGTTAGAATGAAATAAACTTAAATTATTAAATTTAATTACAATTACTACTATCAAAATTGTTATTAAATTTAATTATAATTACTACTTTTTAAATGTCTAATTTATATGCTGTAAATAATTTTTATTAACTATCCATTGTCTTGAATAAATAATTCTCTAATATTTAAAAGAAAATAGAAACTGAAATGTACAACGCCAAATCTGCTGTTCTTCTAGCATAAATCAATATTCCTACCAACAACTTTAATATACTAGTTTCCGTTATTCGAGCATCTACTGTTTAAACGTACTACTGTTCCAATGTTTTACTATCCAAACGTTCTGTTATTTAAACAATATTGTACTTTATACATTGTACAATATTTTACAATATTGTGCTTTGTGTATTACTTTATTATGAAACTGATATTATATGTATGTGTTAATATTTTATGTTTGTATATAATTAATATTGTATACAAGAAACGAAATAAGAGATATATTATAAGCTATATTATATATTTAGATATATTATAAAGCATTAGCTTGATTACTCATTTTGAAACATTTATGATGCTAGAAGAACTAATTTTAAATAGTTTAAGGTGCAAATTGAGAGTAATTCGATCAACGTACAAAAATATTAGTGCTATTTAGCAGAAAGAAAAATATAAAACGTAACTACCCCTGGAGACATTACATTCGTATTATAGCCCACCTGTAGCTAATATTAGTGACATTATTCTTTCTGAAATATAGCATAATGTCCACAAGAAAAAATTTTCACGTTTCATTACCCATTATCCTTCTTTTATAATAAAATATTTTTAATTTGGTAAATAAATATTACAGTAAATCTACTAAAGCAAAAATTTAAATTCGAAATAAGTATTATTAGAACAATTAAAATATTAATTCTATTACTATGATTTATTCGTAATATTTTTTGTTCTACTGCATTCTTATTTCTGCTTAAATTATGTTCCAGCTAAAAAGGAAGAAAAGATTCGTTACCTAATATATCCTCGATAAAACGTTCCAGGTAATCGGAATCATCATCGTCATCATCATCGTCGTCATCGTCATCATCGTCATCATCGTCTCCCGTAATATCGAAGTCGACGTCGTCATCATCATCGTCATCGTCGTCGTCATCGTCCTCACTGACTATTGGAGGTTGTACCGCCTGTCTTCCGGTTGCAACGACATTATTCTGGCCCGACGTTTTCTCTTCAGAGATTTTAGGCACCGGTGATGCGAGTGATCCGATTGCCAGGCAGCACAGCACTGCCAATGCTATCACTAACTTCATGGTTCTGCAAAAGAAAGACACGTTTTTCAAATAATTCCATTGATTAGACGATTAGTATATTTTTAAACAATTATTATAATTCTTCTATTACTATACTTTCACAATACACATCAATTAAAAATTATCGTACTTTTAACATAATTGTTTTCATTGTTGAAATTATTATATTTTCAAAATAATTCTTATACTTCTTTCAATTGCTATATTTTTAAAACGATACTTTCGATTGAAGAATCACTACATTTTTCAAATAATTCACATATTTCTTTTATTTTCCTATTAATTGGTAACTATATTCCAATCGTCATAATTTCTAAATAATTATTTCAATTGAAAGTTGCAATTTTTAAAATAATTCTCTTAATTCGACAATTATTGCAAATTCAAAACTGTATACTTCTCATATTTCAATTATTACATTAATTTTGTAAATAATACTTCTGTTTGGGAAAATATCATTAGGGTAAGAATACTGAAAAGAATATCATTGAAAGAATTTAGCTGAAATCCTTCAATTTTTACGTAATTTTCTGAATTCCTGTTTAAACTCTTCTTCAGAGTTCAAATACGAGTGTACCATAACTGTTGCATTTAATTAAGAATAACCAGGAAACAATCCCGTTGGCATGTTAGAAATTCGTTAAACTTCCATCAGTCTGATACAATGGAAAATGAGGTCACGTTCGAATTGTAAATTACTGTTGCCTGATAAACCGTGTGCTAGATGCCAGAGTGCACGTATCCCGTTTAATACACGTTCTATACTTCGCATTCATAACAAATTCCGTTTTCAGAAAAAGTCTGCCTATGCGTGATTTCGTGGTCCGAGGGAAACCGTGTTAAAAAGCTGACGAAGAGAACCGTGAGAAGAAGAGGTAAAATTTCCTCGTCCGAAGGAAATGGAAAATCTCACAACCGGTTATAATCCTCGAGTTCCGTCCATTTCTCACCAGGACACGGGTAACGTTGCATAATCTACGAGAGAGGCGTTATTAATTGAAGCATAACAATGAGGAAGGGACGCTTCCGCGAGAAGAGCAATGTTCTCAGGACCACGAAAGCGTTTCATTTGACACTGCAGCTATCCTGACCTTTGACGGGGGACATCGGGATTCCCATGCTGTCGTGTTCTCACGACTAACGGTAGGCAAATAAACGTTACTTGGCCATCTCCCAAAGAAACGCATTCTGTGATTCCTCTCCGGGAATAAGAAGGAAGAGAAGAAGAAAAACGAGGAAAAGGAACGAAGAAAATGAGATCCACTAGAGATTCACAATCGATACTCCAGGTACAGTCTATCTATCTAGCAACCAAAATCCTATTACATCCTCTAACCACGTTTCTTCCTCGTTTCAGCGCCCTGACCAGAGGCGAATCTTCAGAGGCGAAGTAGAATTTAAGGAATACCTGTACCGAGTTCCCTGTGGGATAACGAGCTCATCTCGAATCAGGAAAGTATCACAACGAATTGCCGAGATGCACACGAAGAGAGCTAGGTCACTATCGTCGCACACAGCACCACTGAAGACCCGCTGGTACTGAAAATCGTTCGAAAATCGTCGAAACTGTGATCCGTTAGGTATCCACTATTGGAAACGAGTCCGTCCCGATGGTTGGAAGAGGGTACTGTATCACGTTGCCCACTGTACGATCCACGAATCTCCACGAACGTCCACGGAGATCAGAGTCGGAGCGAACTAGTGCTACCCCCAAAGTGGGGTAGCAAGGCGGACGGAGAGTCAGGGTTCCTTCGACTCACCTCTCTTCTTGTCTACGTTGTCCACGGGATGCTCTTGTTCGATTGCACGAGTCAGCCTAGTGTCTAGGTCGGTCAACGACGCGAGTCTCCGTGATATCCACCAAGCGACCCGGTGAGAGTGTTAAAACAGACGAGGCGGCTCACCACGACCCTTTTATACCGAGCTACCTCTCCACCTCCTTCGTTCTCGTTCGCCGTCCTCTTTCCTGACGCCGTGTATTACACCTTCTTCGTGTGTTCTCCACGTGGCTCGTTGCGTTTTCTCCCTTTCTTGAGAACGTGCATTGTGCCTTTCAGTAAAAGGACCGGGCCGAGGCGTGCAGCGACTTTACGACGCCCCGGTACATCGTCCACGTTTCCCGTCCAATGAAAACCCGGAGTACCCAGACTTTTCTTCGCACTCCATAGGAATGATGTTCCACGAGCAACACGGACATTGCAATTGGGCAGTCGAAATCATTCGTTCCCTTTCAAGTTTCCTGCAAATGTTCTAATTGAATTTATAAACTAGGAAGTAGTTCCTAGTTTACCTCTTAAGGATAAAGATCTAAAGATTCGTGGAGATTTTGAATACTCATTTCATTTAGGTAGGTACATACGTGTCCTTTGTTGGAGATGTAGGTAGCCTGGATTTTGGTGCATATTGGTAGATGTATCTTGGTAGTTATAGGGTTGATGCTGTGCTTCTTAAATCTCTTGAATAGAAGAATAGAAGTACTTTATAAATAGATTATAGTTGGGAGTATTTTATAATTGATAAAAATTACACTGATTGATATATCAGGAAATAGAAAATTCCTATCCAAAGGAAATCTAAATTCTTTACACAAAGAGCATAAAATTCTGCCAGGATATGTAAAACAATTTTTCACATGC